ACTTCTTTCTTACGTAAAGGGAACATTTAATTATTGTTATATGCTTATAATGAACTTTCCATTTCCTTTTTTGGAAATTATAAAAAACAATTTTTACACATAAAGAATTTCATAAAAAAAATTAATAATTCAAAATCCTACCTTACAGGATGTTTTCTTTTTAGAAGTGTTTGCTACGTACCACAATAATTGTATATTAAACTCCAAGTGCAACAAATTCTCTTTTGAATTTTTCCAGTTTCACAAAACAATTGTCGATTCATCAGCAAGTCACCTGTCAAAAAAAGCAAACAAACACAAAATTAGTTATTTTGAATTTTTAATTTATATTAAATTTACTTTAAATTTATATTTTTATATTTAATTGCGACAAATATTACATAACAGAAAAAATGTAATAAAATAACTCTTTCGAAATAGTAACAATTTAATAGTTAAATTTAAATTTAATTTAATTTAATTTTAATTTTAATTTAACAATTAAATAGTAACAAGTTGAGAAAAAAAATGTATTTTCCATCTTTTGAATAAGAATTTTTAATTAAATAATATTCAATTATTGTCGAAACAGTTTTTAAACTGATTGGTAGAAATTTTTCCTGGAAATATTAAAAAAATTAATAATTACAAAAATTCTAGTTTATTTGAAAATTAATTGTACTTTCTTGCGTGTGATTTGAAAGAAACTGTTGTTTATTTTCAACAAAACAATGAATTTCCGATAAAAAACACCTATTTATTGGCAAAATCAATAAATATCGTATCAAACAGTTGATTTTGTCAATAATGACAATTAATTTTTAACACAACAATTAACAAAAGCCGGTTGGATTGTTGTTGGAGAGAAATGAAAAATGCAACCTAACCTCAAAAGCAAATTTTTCACTTTGACAATTCTCGTCTAAATAATTTCCCCCACTTTGCACGGAAAAGTGAAAATAAATTCAATTACTGTTGGTTGTTTACCTTTTTTACCATTTTCGAACAATTATAAACGAAAAATCACGAAATATTTGCAAAATATTCAACCAAAAGTTTCCCTCATGGCAATTCTCCCAACACTGTCACCGAAAAGTAATTTTTCACTAATAACCCTACAAAAACAACCGAATCAAACACTATTTATCGAAAGATTATTAACTTCGCTTCTAGCACTTGACTATTGAAATAAACGAAACAATAGTTTAATTATAAAGAAACAAAAGGCGGTTGCAAAACACCGACCAGTTCGATTCACCGATTTCACAGTGACACATGTTGATATTTTCCAGCAAATATGTTTCAATATTCAGTATATTTCACTTTACTTACTTGTCAGTTTGATAATTCATCGATTAATTTTCAATATTCACTGCTTTTTATAATATTATTCAACTAATAATTGATTAAAACTTATTAAAATGACGCACTTCTACTTGCTGGGACTTGGAAAAATTGTAGCCTACCACAGGGGCAACCGACGCCATTATGAATTTTTCCCGCGCCAATTATGAAAACCGGAAATCGGTCGATAACTATTCCAATAGATACCAACGTGACCAAAAGCGGGAAAATGATTTTTTGAATTGAAATATTATCATTTATTCCAAATAATAATTTAATTAATTTACTACTTCGAATTAAATTTCAACTATTTAATTTTTTTCAAAGCAGGAAAAATGTGAAAATAATAGAATTAGTAAATAAATTGAAATAAAAAGGAAAAAAAATATTGCTATAAAAGAAATATTTTTTATTGTAAAAATTTCGATATTTTCAAGTTTAGAAAAATATTTTTCTCTATTTTTTCGATAAAAAAATTTTCTAATTGGAAAAAAAAATATTCTGAAAAACATCGAATTTTTACTTCTTGTATCATTGACAAAATTGCTAATTTTTCAACAAAAAGCAATAGATTTTCGATTAAAAATACTTATTTATCCACAAAAACGATAAATACCGTATCAAACAGTTGATTTTGTCAACAATGACAATAAATTTTTAATACAACAATTAACAAAAGTCGGTTGAATTATTGGCGGAATGCAATGAAAAAAGCAACCTAACCTCAAAATTATATTTTCAATTTTGACAATTTCCACTTAAGTATTTTTACCCATTTTGCAAAAAAAAGTGAAAACAAATTCATTTACTGTTATTTGATAACTATTTTTACCACTATCGAGCAATAATAAACGAATAATCACGAAATATTTTCACTATGTTCAACCGAATTTTTCCCTGGCAACAGTCACAATACATCCACTTATTATATCGAATATTTTCGCGAAAAATTTGGATATTTCACTTTACTCACCGATTGTGATGATTAATCAGTAATTTAATTTCACCATACACAGAATTTACAACATTATTTAACTGATAATTTTCGAAAAACTTTAATTTAATCGGAGCGTTACTTTTACTTTTGATACTTGTGAAAAATGTGTCGGAATTTAAAGTGTAAGGAGTGTAGCCTATCCACAGGTGCAAATGACGAGAAACATTGTTTCCCGCTTTAAATTCAAACGGAAATAACCGGAAATCAGTCGGTAACTTGTCCAGCAATTACCAACTTGACTAATAGATGGCGAATTTAAATTTTCAAAAATAAAATCAATAAATGCAATAAAATAATTATTAATTCCATTCGTTTTAACAGTTTTAAATAATAATTTAAAGAAAACGAGAATTAAATATTTTAAAAAAAGAAAGAGAACTAAATATTGAAATAATAGGAAAATATTAATTTCTGTCAAAAATTAATTCAGTTAAAACGAATATATTTTTATAAACATTCCTTTAAAATAAATTAAATTAACCCTAAAAAGAATTCTTTTATGTAAAAATTAAATTGTCAATAAATGGGATAAATGTAATATTCCTGCTTTTGAAAAAGCAAGAAAATTATTACCAATTTTCTAAACAATAACTTTCTATTTTTAATAAATTATCCTATTTATCGACACGAATGGTAAATATTTAATAAATCAATTGCATTTTTCAACAATGACAACTAATTTTTAATAGAAAAATAAGCAAAAACCGGTCGTAAATTTTATCGAGCAACAATGAAAAATGTAACCTAACCTTAAAATCACATTTTTTTATTTTGCCAATTTCCGCCTAAGTATTTTTACCAATTTTGCATAAAAAAGGGAAAATTAATTCAATTACTGTCAATAAATAACTCTTTTTACCATTTCTCAACAATAGAAGTCAAATTAATTTAGAAAAGAAAAATGCAAAAAGCCATTTCACCAAAGTAATGCATATTGAATATTTGTAAGCAAAAATAATGCAAAATTCAACATATTTTATTTAACTCACCTGTTGCTGCCAGTTGCAAATGATGAAATATCAACTAAAGCTTATCACAAACAATATTAATAACATTATTTCACTATGAATTTATTAAAACTTTGATTAAAATGACGCACTCAACTTTTACTTGTACAAAATTTGCGGGAATACACTTTTGTGAAAAGTGTAGTCTATCTACAGGTGCAAACCGGAAGTCTGTCGGTAACTTGTCCAGTTGCCTACATAACCGACAACCCGCGAATTTTAAATTTAAAGAAGTTTTAATAATTAGATTTTAGGAAAGGAATATAATTATTAATTATTAAAAAGAGAAAATTCTTTTAATAACAATTATAAAATTGTATGTTTTCTTTTTATTTAATTGTTAACAATTTTTTTTATTTATAGGTACTTTAGTTTTATAATTATTTATTTTATTTAAATAAACAAATTTTCTAAATTTTATTTTTTAATATTTTAATAATTTAAACATTAAATTTAACATTTTAATTAACTGTACTAAATTTATAAATAAAATATAATTCAAATAAAAAAAATTGAACCACAATAATAAAAATAACAATAAAAAGATTTTTTAAGATTTTTTAAAAATAATTATTAAATTCTTTATAATTTTTTATTTTAATATTTCTTTTAATGTAATATTTTAAGTTAAATTTTTTTAATAGAATCTTTCGGTGAAATTTTTTAATTTTTTTTTTTTACAAATTTTAGTGATTAATAAATTAAAAAATTGATGGTTTTTTTATAAGTTAAAAATAAAGAGAGATTGTTGAAAGTAATAACAGCAGTTTCATTTTAATTATTTTATTTGTTGTTTTTAATTCATTTTTTAAAATAAGTTTTAATTGTTTTATTTAACGAAAGTCGAATTAAATAAATAGTTTTGTTTTCTAATTTAAAATATAAACTTTCAATGTAGAAAATATTTGATAACATTTTTATGAATAATTATATTTTTAGATTCAATAAAAATGCATTACTTTGGTGAAAAATTCTTTTTTCTTTTTCACTTTTAAATTTCAATAATTATATAGGTAGTTTTAGAAAATGTAATATTAGTTTTTGAATTCATTCGAAAAATCTTATATTCAAAATTTTGATACAATTTCTAAAACATTAAATTTAGTTTTCGAATTTAAAAAAATTCTAAACAATTTGAACTTAATTTAAAAATAAACAAAATAAAATCAAATTCTAAAAATTTGATTTTAGTTTTTGAATTCAAGAAATAGAATTCTCAAAAATCTGAAATTGTATTCAAAATTTTAATATAATTTCTAAAAATTTCAATTTAGTTTTCGAATTTAAAAAAAATTCTTAAAAATTTAAACTCTTTTTAAATATAATACAATTTTTAAAAATTCGACTTTAGTTTTTTGAATTTAAAAAAAGGAATTCTTTAAAATCTCCTTATATTCAAATTTTTGGAAATAATATTAAAATTTTCAATATATAAGAAGATTTTAAAGAATTCCTTTTTTAAATTAAAAAACTAATATCGAATTTTTAAAAATTGTATTATTTTTTTCAAATTGATAAAAATTATGAAAAACTTGAACTTGATTTAAAAAAAAGAATTCCTAAAAATTTCAATTTATATTTTTCTCAAACTTTTTTCTATTACTGCAAAAAGTTTAATTCAATTGTATCTTAAATTTTTTGTACCTAATTTAAAAAATAAAATTTGAATTTAATTTCCTTCGAAATGAATTTTACTTTTTATGTAGAGAAATAAAAATTATAATTGATTTTTAATCACCTTAATCGCTCTGTCTATCAAAACATCACTGTGCCTTTTTCGACTTTTGTTATTAATCCTCTTTGCTCTTAGGACCGTATTCCAATCAATTTTACTCTTCATTTGAAAATTGCTACGATCAATCATTCCCGGTAAAATTTTCATTGTTTCCGTCTCAATGAAAATTTTCGTCGGACTTATAATTAAGGGTTTCACATTTTCTTCCCGATCCAATTGCCATGGAAGTAATCCAAATGGACACCTACTCCAATCATTATTTTCTAGAAATAAATAATTTGTGATTAATTTATTTTTTAATTTAAATTTTTAATTAAAATCTTATTTTTTAATTAAAATTTCTTTATTTTTAAATTCAAATTCGTCACGAACTTCAAAATAAAAACAAAAGAAAATTCTACTGAAACAATTATTTTTAAATATAATTATCATTTATTTTTCAAATTAAATTTCTTTTAATTTGAGAGAAAAATATTTACCTGAAGGCAATTTCCAATTATTATTACGTATCGTTTCGTCACTAAAATTCAGCTGAGTGTCAAAATTATTTTCCACAATTTCCATTTCCTCATCTCGTTGATCAATTAATTCCTTAAGATTTTCCAGCGTGTAAATTTGATTATTCTCGATATTAATATCCTTATCGATTAAATGCATTGTCTGTATATTGAGAAGTGATAGCAAATCTTCTTGATGTTGCGAACAATTTTTCGGCATTACAAGATCCATCAATGAAGGCATAAATTTTGGCGTAAATTCATTTGGATTAAGAAGCAATTTTTCAACTAAAGTTCTATTAATTCCTCTAAATGGAACTTCAATTGTACAATTAAACCAAGGAAATTTTAAATCCGGAAACATTTTCTCCACTTTGCTACGAACTTTTTGAGTGAAATGTTTAAAAGAAATTTTCTTATTCTTCGCATCGTAAAATTGATCCTCCTCTAAACGCATTTGTTGACTAATTCTGTTTATCGTCAGTCCATCAGCAATCGCTCGTAACCATTCAGATCCAATGCGTCTTCTCTGCATTTTTTCATTTTCATTATTCACCAAATGCAATAATTGCACAAATAATGATTCTATTAATTTCTTCTCTTGCAAAAGAATAATAAATTCTTCCCAAAATTTAATGAAATCAAGGGGAAGAAAATTATCGAATGATTCCTTAGATTTTGTATTGTTGAATATTTCCAAAAATTCTCTATTCGGTATAAATACTTCATTGTCACATAATAAGGTGCAAATTGTCTCGTTATTTTCAAGAAGAAACGTTTTACTCAAACACGACGAAATTTCAGACAAGAGTATTCTCTGTACGGTAATTAATTTCAATTCTTTATTATTCTTCAAATTTTCATCAATAATCTGATTTGAAGTTTCATTCATAAAACTGGAATTTTTTTGCTTTTGTAATGTGAATGTTCGTAACTCCAATAAAGTTTCCCTGAAAGAAAAAATGTATTTTTATTAATTATGTATTAAGTAGCAAATTTTATTTTATGCACGGCAGCGAGTAATTAATAGATCTTTAACATTTATTATTATGCAAATTAAAAATAGTTTCTTATTTTCAAATATTAATTTCAATTTTGGAGTAATTTCGGATTCAAAATTAAGAAGAATTAAAATATTGACTAATTTATTAATTAATTACAATTACTTATTATTTTCAAAAACAATAAGTTCAATAAAATTTCTTCAAAGAATTGAATTGTTATTAAAATTAAAATTCTTCGCAAAACTTTAATTATTTGGAAAAATTTCGAATAAATTCTTTATGAGAATTGAAATGTTTTCCATATAATATAATTCTTTGCAAAAATTTTATTATTTAGAAAAATTCCAATTAAATACTATGTATACTTATAAGAAAAAAAATTTAATTAAATTGAAGAAATCTAAACGATTATTAATATAAATTTATATATATATTAATTTTTAACTTTTATAATGAAATTTTCTTTACCGTAGTTTTTGATCTGGTATATCAATTACCAGGGAGTAATTAGCATAAATATATAGACCAGTTGCTGTCCATAGTTCAATTAAATCTTCGAGAGCTTGAATTTCCTCGGAGTCATTATTTTCAGGTTGTTCAATTTTCTTATAATAGTCAATCATATTTTTAATCTCGACAGTCCAATATTCATCCTGAAATTTGCAAAAAGTGTTTTAAAAAAAATTAAATTAGAACTATTTATTGAATTAAAGATATTTTTCAAATAAATAAATATTTTTCGATTAGTTTCTAATAAAAATAAATAATGAATTAATTTTTAATAAAAACAAATAACTTTGATCTTGGAGGATTGATAAATTTGCTTTACATCTAAAAACAAATAACTTAATTTTTGATGAAATCAAGTAAATAAATTAATTATTACATTAATTAAATAAAATAGTACATTTTTCGAAATTACATTCTTTGTAATTGGTGTTTTTTTTAAATTAGATTTCAAATTAATTTGAATTGAATCAACTTACATGGAGCCAAGTTAAGAGAATATTAACAGCAATTCTTAAGACGCTGATTGAGGGTAATTCGTGACCGTGTGCGGCGTCGTGTCTTAAATTTACAATCCATTCGGGAATATTTAATTGCTTTGCAATTTGAAATAAGGACGTTTGCTTCATATGTCCAATATTTGCAATATGATTGAGAAATCTCATAATAGAGAGAGAATACATCATGCATAGATCATTTTCATAATGTATCGGCAATTCGGCTTTATCAAGTTTTTCACTCCATTCTCTATCTCTCAATGATACTTGTACTAATGATAATGTACAATCAACACCCACTGGTAATTTTGGATTTCTGAAATTATTTTCAAAAATTATTTCTCTATAATATTTAAATTATTTCTCCACAATATTTACATTATTTAACTACAATATTTAAATTCTTTTTCTACAATATTTTTATTATTTCTCTTTAATATTTAAATTATTTCTCTTTTATATTTAAATTTTTTTTCTGCATTACTTAATTTTTTTCTCTACAATATTTAAATTATTTCCCTACAGTATTTAAATAATTTCTCTGCAATATTTAAATTATTTCTCTACAGTATTTAAAATTATATTTTCTTGATTGTAATTAATACTTTATTTAGTACTTTTTTTTGTTTTTTTGTTTTATAAACGAAAAAATAATGCAACAATATATTTTATTTTGTCTTTATATTCGTTACTATTTTTCAGCAATTGTTTTGTAATAATTAATTCTTTTCAAATTTACTAACAAGAAAATTAGAGATGATCTTAATTTAAAAAGAACTTCTTTAATTGGTTTTTAAAAACGTTGCTGAGTTCAGAGCCTTATAAATTATATTTTCTTTTTGTTACTGAATTATTTTGACCCTTATTTAATAAAAACAGAAATGAAAAAGGAAAAAATCGATTCTCACCGTGCTTTCCATACGAGAAGAGTTTCGTACGCTTTTTCTTGTTCTTCATGATTATTGGAATAAACCTGATTATATACATCGTACCATTCTGTCCTGAAAATAGAAGAAAATAACAATTTGTCAGTGAAGTATTTTTAATTTTTTGCAAAATGTAATTTTATTTATTTACTATTATTTATTTTATTTATTTAACATTATGAATGATTTTTCCCTCATTTGGAAAAATTTTCTATCAAAAATGCAAATAAACAAATAAAGAAAACAAAAAAAGCAAATTGTTAATTATCAGTAGGATAAAATTCCCCGTGAAAAATTTTCTTTACATTTACTTTTGTTAAGGAATTTTACAGAAAACAGTAATTTACAAAAATTTGTGAAAGAAACATAGTAAATATATTAATTGTACAAGATCAAATTGTTTTTTTTTTTAAGGGAGAAAAACACACGTGGGGACATTTTTACTTACATAGAAAACCATGGCACATGCTTTAAATCGTCGCGTTTAACAGAAAGGGCCATTGTTATTCAATTATTTTTACTAAATAGTAACAATCACTAATATTCTATTCTTCATTTGTCAAATAATTGTTATTCAAAAATAGAATACGCACGTCGCACGTTTGTAAGTTTTTTGAGGTTATGTTTCTGAAAAACAGGTTGCGCAGGAATGGTTGCGCACTGATCAAGCAGGGTTGGGAAGATAAAATCCCGTTTTATTCTGCTGGGCAGGGTTGGTGATCAAAATTTTGATTTCCAATTTAAAAAAATAAATTTTTGAATTTCACTTTTAAAACAGTGTTTTTAATTAAAAAGATTGCTTTAGGTGGCCGACAACTGTCGTATTCTTACTTGTTAATTGGCAAATTTTTTTTTGTAAACATGATTAAGTATTTAATTAAGAATCTCACGTCAGATTTTAAAAACTCAAAATGGCGGATCCAATATGGCGGACAAAATTTTAATTTTAGCGAATTTAAATTTTCATCTCTCAAATATTGAATTCGACATAATTTAAATATTTACAATAGTAGAAAATGATAAATTAAAAAAAATTTGTTAATGATAATCACCATCAAAAAAAGCTAAGGTAACGTTCACATATTACGTTACACAAATTTGGAAAAAAAACTTATTCATTTTGTTTCAAAAGGGTCAATATTGCCGCATGGAACTTGTATTGACATAAAATAAATTCTTTAATACTTTTCCAATAACACAAACCAATAATGAATTAACAAACACATGTAATTTCCGATTAAAAACATAATTATCAAAAAAAAAAGAAAATTAAATTACAATTCTTTCATTTTCTAATGTATATTTAATCACCGCATTAAACGATAATATAGATGTAAATAAATATCTGCGATACGACATTAAAGAAAAATAAAAATTCATTATAAAAAATATAGCTATTGCAGTTTGAGTTTAACCGCAGTTTCGTGAGAAATGGATAAATTTTTTAAGATGTCTCACTTTAGGACTAATAGACTTTTATTAGTTATTACTGGTCTCTGGCCACTGAAGACAAATGTCTTACAAAAATTGTTCTTCTCACTCTCAATCTTTTTTGGTTTTTGTCACAATATTTTACATGTATGTCAATAATCATTAATAAGCAAATTTTACCAACTTTTAACATTTTTTTTAATCCTTCAATTTAATGTTTTTATAATTTAAATAAGGAGACCGAGTGATAAATTCAAATAATTTTCATATAATTATAACTTTTACATAATTTACAAGGGAGAAATTAATATTTTTAATTCAGTTTTGTATTTTTTAACATAAATACTTTTAATTCTTAGTTTAAGTATTTTTAATTTTTTAATTTAAATATTTTTATTGCAATTTTTAAGGTAGGAACTGTGATCGTGGCATCTATTGAAGCAGACATTGACGTTCTTTTAGGAACCGTTCCATATATTTTACTTAGTGGGGCTATTACAATACATCTTGTTTTATGGCTAATAAAATTTAACAAAGTGAGTTTTTCTTGGTACTGAAATTTAAAAAATTCATTTTTATCACAATAATGTAAATTGTACCCAAGTTCATAAATAAAACTGTCTCATTTCTAATTTCATTATTCAGATCAAAAATCTTTTGCAACGTGTTTATTTCACTTGGGAATATTTTTTACCCGTCGAAAGATTAATATTGGAAAAATACGCCCACAAAAGTCGGATACTTACTAAAATTTACATATGTAAGTAACATTCTGTTGTATATTCAATAGTTCTCAGTCTAAACTAACAAAAACTGTAAAATCTAATTCCAAATTTTTACCTTTTTTTGTAAATTAATTATTAATAATTAATTATTATTAATTAATTATTATTAATTAAAAACATAATTTCAACTAATTCTTAAAAAATACACATTTCAGATGTTATTTACGGACCAATTATTCCTTATATGTTCTTTCAATTATATAGAAGTTTTAAAACACCGTCTGCACAAGTAACGGGGACAACAATACATGTTGTTTTTGATATAAAAAATTTCTTCGGTATTGGAAATTATTATTATTCAGTTTTTGCTATATCATTTTTTGGAACTTTTGCTATAGCTAATGTAGCTTTTGCGATTGACTCTATTTTTGTTGTTTTCATTCAACATGCAAGTGGAATGTTTGCAGTACTCACGTAAGAAAGGAACATTTCTATCCATTTTATTTAATATTCAAAGTATTTGTTATACTTAAAGATAATTATAAATTTCTAAATTTGATGTAAAATTAAATGCTTCATTGTTGGCTCTTTGGATTTAAAACATTATTACATTATTCTCTTGTCGAAAAGTAAATATAAAATTATTTTCTAGCCAACGTTTACATGATACGAAAGTGGCAAATTCCAATTATGATAAAGCTCGAAATGAAAGAGAAAAAAATCGCAAAATTATTATTGAATGCCTAGCTGTACATCAATCTATTATCGAGTAAGTTATATTGCAAAAAACATTACTTATTATAAACTTTAAAACTATATATATAAAAATTATATGAATTATATCTCAAAAATAATACTTTTCTTCACACAGATTTTCAGATCTTATTAATACAATATTTTCGTTAGGACTCCTAATATCAGTTACTCTATACACGGTTTCATTAAGTTTTGCATCATTTTGCGTAAGAAAATTAAAAATTCCTTTCTCAAAACAAAAAATTTTCTTTTATTATTTACGATATTTCTTCAAATTAATTTTGCTCAAATAAAGATATATTTTCAGGCACTTGAATATCGAAATATGCCAAATATTATGTTCAGATTCGTCGTCATAACTTCTGGATCTCTTTTACAAATGTTCTTAAAATTTTGGCAATGTCAGACATTAATTAATCACAGTTCATCATTTCGAAATGCAATGTAAGTTTAAAATAGAGACTGCAATCATTTATAAATTTTCAAATAATTTCAATTACTTTATAGTAGTTTTTTTTCTACTTTTAATTTTATTAATATATTGATGATTTCAGATATGGCGCAAATTGGTATAATTTATCACCAAAGACAAGAATAATTTTGTGCTTCATGTTAATGAGATCAGAAAAAGACTGCAAGGCAAGTGCAGGGAAATTCTTCGACATGTCCTTTCAAAGTTTTTCAAAAGTATAAACGAATTTTATAAATTTTTAATATTTCACTGTATGTTCTATTCTAAACATTCAAATTCATAAGAAATTACTTTACTGTATAATGAGTTATTTTTTCTTTTACAGATTTTAAGTGCAGCTATTTCATACTTCGCGCTTTTGTCACATTTAAGAAAATCAAAAAGTATTTTATCATAAGTTTTTGAGAATATAAAAAATTATTTCTTGTAATTGTTACGAACGAGAAAATATTTAAATAATTAATATAGTTGATTTAACTATAATGATTATTTTAGGCTTTTGAGATGGCCCTATTTTCCAGTTTGTTGGAGGAATTCAAACTGCCAGAGCGTGAGCTCTGTTTATCTTACTGGGATTCGTGTTTCCTAGTTGCCAAAATTCAGAAATTAATTAAGGAAGGGGGGGGGGGGGGGGTAAGGAAAATGTAGAAAATTAATAGAAAGAAAAATTAAAATAATAGTTATGATTTATTGTAAATTAAAGAAAGGATCCATCCGCCTCTCAAACAATAAAAGAAAGGAGGATGGGGTAAAACTAGCCAGAACGATACAGTTACTTACCCGTTCTGGAACCTTAAGTCTACCGCCAGAATTCTGCCGACGGGCGAAGATTTCACAATACACTCACACGTGCACAACTTATTGTTTTTTTTTTTTTTTCTTAGTTTCCTAAACCACTAAAAATAGGGCGGACGCGGCTACACCGTAAAACCGGCCGGTCATTTGACAAGAAAGAAAATTTTAAATTTATTTAAATAAAATCTCCCCCTTCACTATTTTAGCTTTAGGTGGCCCCGCGGATTTCGAGTTAAGAATTTTATTTTCGTCCGGCCAAATTGCTTGTATAAACATACAACCAATTTGGATCCTGTATACCGGACGGGAACGTTACGGATAATATTATTTTTATTCCGACAGAGATTGAGTCTCTGTGCCGTGGGAAACCGTACTGAACAATTTAGATATCTAATTAATGAGCTTATATAGTTTTACTTCCTTAAGAAATATGGAAAGGTGGGGACAGGGCGTTGGTCCTGTTGCCATGCCAAAATTGCTGAACTTGCATTTTGTGGAATCGGTTCATTGCACTATGTTGAAATAAATTCCTTTTTCTTGTATTCTTAGAAAGAATATTTTCTTTTTAATATTCTTTTAATTATTGAAACAATTTTTAATTTGTTTATTTATTTATTTTATTTTTTTTTTAATTAATCTCTTAAAATAGGATTAATGTAAGTTGGAAATAATGGACATTTCAAAATAGAAATTCCATTCTATTTTGTAACCCTAAAAAAAAAAGGTTGTTACAATTCCAACGTTAAATCATTTGTCAATAATTATTTTAATGTGCATTGGAATCTTCCGCAAGTTTGCAATTTATGGCGGGCAAGGTTTATAAGCTAGGTTGGTACAGGGAAACGAGAGATAAATTATATTTTTGAAAGAAAAGAAATAATAATAGAATTAATAATAATAATAGCCTAAACGTTCCCATCTTTATATATCGTATAATTGTTAATTGTATAAATATTTTTAATTAAGGCCGGGCCATCATTCACCCTATTTTCAAGGTTCGAAAAATTAAAAAAATGCATTTAAAATTGAAGGCAGACGATTATAGTAACATTCGCCGTTAGTGTGAGAGAGAAAGAGCGATAGGATAGAAGAGTACACTATACTCCGTAAGAACAATATGCCTGAGAGAGAACGCTTCGATGCTATACACAATCTTCTTTCTCTCTCGCACAATGTCAAGGGGAGCGTGGGGAGCGCGGGAAGTCTTCACTCAACGCGTTGAGTGTAGCCTCACGTCTATTCTTCGTGTATATATATATATATGCATACAATATGCATTTCATTATTTTAATTCTAATAGTTAATAATTTTCCTTTTTACTGTTAATAACATGGATAATACACATATATGCACACATATACATATACCATAGCCATTGTTGTTGTTTTAAAACAAATTATAAATTCAATAAAATAATACCCTTTTATTAATCGATATTTATCAATATAGTTTAATTAATAATTGATAGTTTATTACTCGTGTAGGTTCCAAGGGCTTGCCTCATGAGTTGAATAAAATTTAAAAATATAAAATTATTTTGGTGTCATTGCCTCGCGAGTTGCACCATTTCGCTGACACCGAAATTCCTTAGTGCAATACGATCTTTAACTTCCTTCAACTTGGTTCGAAGGAAGTTTTAAAAGAATTTTAAATAAAATAATTTTCGAAATCTTTTTAAATTAAATATGGGCGTAACAAACCACCGTGGAATTTCCGTTTTTGTCCTCAAAAACTAGCAGCCCTTGGATTCGACACGGAGGAATATTTATCTATTATTCTATTCTATTTATTTACTATTGCATATTATTATTAAATTATCATTATAGATGATTAACTATTTCTGTTATTGGTGTTAAGAATTGAGAAGAGAAAAGAGAATCATGCTTATTTTAGTGGTTGTATTTCTCTTCTCTTTTCAATTGCTCTATTATGCATTCTGTCGCGTTACACTCATTATCACCTTCGCGGTGGGGGTGATTCACTCTCGCTGCACTTGACCGTGTTCGTACCTTCTCATTAGTATAGTTTAGACGTGCGACGATTCTACAAAAATTAATATGTGCGGTCAAGTGTGTGTAGTTCGCGGTGCTTTACATTTTTGGATTATTCGTGATTACAATAGAGATATACGGCAAAAGTGGTAAAAATTCTTTACTAATAGGTGGACATATCATTCTGTAAGTGTATTAATATTCATTAATATATATATATTACACACACACATGTCATTTTTAGATTGAAACAAATTTTCGTATTGTTCAATTAAAGAAACAATTATTCAAACATAAAATTAATAATCAATTTTCCAATAGTTTTTTTTTTTTTTTTTTTTTTTTGAATAATTTATATTTATAATAAACATAATTATTTGAACAATTATTTCTTAAATTAAAATATTAGACCAATTTTAATTCAACAATTCACGTCACAAATTGGCGATAATTCGGTACTAACTTGTTTTATAATTTTAAAAGAATTTAGTGCCATTATTAAAATTTTATAATATGATGTTAATAATAATTTTAAAGTAATCGAATAATAGCCATTAATGACTACCAATTAATTAATTGTTTGTTAATTAACAACAGTCACCAGTAATTATTCGGTAGTGCACACATACACATTTATACATAAGTGTATATTTGTTTATTTATTTATAATTTATTTTATTGTCGTTATTATCATTATATATATTTATTTATTTAACAAAAATTTTAATAATTGATTTTTTTTTTTTTTTTTTTTTTGTTTAGTTATTATTGTTTATTAAATTTTAATTATTTATTTATTTATTTATACTACTAATGATAACAACAATAATTTATTAAATAACAGCTGATAATATAATTTGCTCATAATACTTATAAAATAAATAATCATTGGCAATAACTGTTCATGATTATCGATTACCAATAAATATTTTCCTTTTAGTACGATCGTATGCATATAGATTTTTTTTTTTTTTTTTTTTTTTTTTTTTTTTTTTTTTTTTGAATATATATTTAATTGTTTTTGTATTGTTTTTGTATTGTTTTTTTTTTTTTTTATTTATTGATTTATTTATTTGTTTTTGTGATTTTATTTAAATGTTGTTTTATAATATTAATTATATGTCTCTATTTATTTGTATATATGTTTACTATTTATTGTTTGTATATATCATTTTATGACAGCACACATGCGTGTTCAAAATCTCTTTTTGATTTTAAAGTTATTTAGAAACAACAACAACAACAGTAGGCTTCCACTATAGTAAATTACTTAGATTTATTTATCAATTCTCCCCGAAATATTTAGGGTAAAACTCTGAGGCGTTTTGAAAATGGCAAGGTACTGACCCAAAACTCCCATAAGCCATGGGTGCTTTCCTTCATGAAATATGAAGGCAAGCACTATTTGTTGGTTATATGGTAGGAAGGAAATCTGACCTTTCTGTAGTGTGTGCGCCTCTGAGCGGCAAGATCTTGGTAAGACCGTTAAAAGTTTCACCGCTATAGTAAATTCTTTTCTCAAATTTTAAACGAAGAGAAGGTTGTGGATACGTCCCGACGGTACCGGCACCATTGTCAAAACGCCTTTGGGAATGTATTATCTTTTTATACATCAATATATATATATACACCAAAAACTAGCAATGAAAGAGTGCTGACCCAACACTTCCGCACACCATGAGTGCCTGCTTTATGATTTTTGGTCACATAAAGCAATCACTCGTTGGGTACGCGGCAGGAGGGAGAACGGGCAAATGAGAAGCCTCTGGTGGCAGTTAAACCTTAATGTTTTTCCGTTAGACCATCGCAGACTGCTCTAATTAAATATGGAGTATTAATACTCCGAGCCGCGGATTTTTCTCTCCAGCACAAAAACATTGCTAACCCTTGCTGTATATGTTTTTTTTTTTATTGTTAATTATACCTTATGTTACCTTACTAAAATGGTTGAAGATGTTGCGTTGGTAGAATAGTACCTGGCCTTGGACTCGCTGTTGGCGATGTTGATATTACTCCGGATGTTGTTGGTACGGGAATAAATTGCAATTCCGTTTGATGTGATGTTGAGGTTAATGGGGTATCAACTGACCCCATGTTGATTGAATGACCTTCCTTCAGTGCTACTGCACTGCTTGCTTTAGGATCCGTGGTTTCGTTGCTGGGGTGACATCTGGAAGAGGTCAAATAAATGACCTTGGAATTCGGAATGACAGAATAGTTTCCTGTTGTCTCGGTCCGGCAGTCAGCTGCTACTTCGGATTGTTTTTGTGTAGGTTTTAGGATATTTGAAAAGTGGTTAGCTCCACTTGAAATAGGTTTTCTACATAGGTACAGTATGATGCATATAATAATTAGCATCGAACCTCCGTAAGCTCCATAAACAAGGGTTGTATGTTTATTTTTAAATTGTTTCTGGACTGCTAGGTCTTCTAATTCTTCTTCCAATTCGTATAGAGTTTTCGAATTTGCTTCAAAACTGGACATTTTTGATCCAAGACTTTTTACTTCTACATGCCGGTCTTCTAGGGTTATTGCAAGATCAGCATGGGTTGCTAATAGGGGTGACACCTTCATAACATCCAGATGTAACTCAGTTTCGAAGATAAGCGATGTTTGACCCTTTTGTTCTGATGTAGCTGGGATGGTGACGTCTTTTGTTTTTACGGAGCATCCTGGAGCTAGTTTCATCATACCTACTCCGGTTAAATTCACCTTAACGGGAGTCATTGAATGACAGTAGATAGTAATCACTTCTGGTCGGGCAAATGAGTACAGCCATGCTGACAGGGTTCTTAATGGTTGCCAGTAAGATTCAGGTGCTGTAGTAATTTTAATTGTGCAAGATCTCATGGCTTCAATAGATGGTTGGTCCAAGAGTAAGGGTTCACATCCTGGTCTCTCTCGCACGTCGTAGATTGGTACTCCTTCCAGGCAAGCATGATAGGCTGCAGTTGAGCGGCATTCCTTCCATTCCTCCTGGTGGATCAGCAGGTAGGTTCGTTTATCTTCGTCGATAATTAAATAATCATAATCAGAGCTGATGTAGGCTCTTTGAGTACCACTACCCAAAGATTCTTGTATTGTTGGAAGAGGATGGATTTTAAAGGACTGGTATTTGTGTCTTTCCAAAAGAGGGATGTCGATCATGACCTTCAACTTATGGTTATCGCACCAGATGGAAATGGTGGCGATTCGAATAAGCTCGTCGATGCTGACCTTGGGTCCAGGTAGAGGAAAATAAACATCTGTCAGATTGTCTTGGATCTCTCGCATGATTGGTTCAAGTTGGTTTGATGAGATGATTCCGGGATGAAGCCGATTTTGTCGAGCTTCATGGACAGCATTCAAGATGGTGGATGTAGCTTTGATGTTGTGGTCCAATCCGATTTTAAGTGCCTCCATTAATAGTATTATGGATTGTCTTCGTTCTTCTGCTTCTTTCCAGGTAGCGCTTTTTCCTTCTCTCAAAAGTAAATTTTGTAGATCCTGACGTAGGTTATCCATTTGGCCTTGTTGATTGACATATTGAGTGTGAATGATGTCCAATTGAGAGCGGACAATGTGAGTTTGTTTTCCCAAGTACCTGGTCAGATTACTTTGGGCTTGGTTCAGGTCTTCGATAGCCGCATCGTACCGTTCTCCGTCGTCATAATTTAGAACGCCTGCGATGGGCCCAGCTATTTTTCCCAAAAATCCAAGGAGAGGAACACTCCGTCTTACTTTTAGTTGTGACGACATTTTCCTTGGTAGGCTCGTCCTGGTATTTTCTAATTCCTCGATCTGTCCTCGGAATTGAAGTTGTAATTCTGATGCCATCTCCCATTTATCTCCCCATTGAAATTGATACATGGTTTGCTCGCACCAATTTTCTCCTGGTCTGCAATATTCCTTGAGCCTTTCCAGTCTCAACTTCAAATCATTATAATGGCGAATTTGTTTTCCGATGTCTAGAAACACAGCCACCCTCCATCTGCTAGTCGACCGTCGAACTTCTCCGAAATGTTCAAAATAGACTCCACTACTGATGTTGAAAGGTGTAATTTGGAAAAATGTGCTGGTCGTCGGGTCGTTTGCTAGGGAATCATCAGAATTAGCTCCTGCTGTTAGAACGAGGCACAAGGCAATAGTGATCCATTCCATCGTCATTTTACCTAAAATCAAAATTATGTTAATGATAACTCAGAGGGAAGATAATGGTTAAAAATGGGCAACCATTATCTTATCTTTATGCTTGGCGAATCTCTCGCCATTTTCATCTTCCAAGATAACGTTATTATTTTGGGTTAACCCTACGACGACATAAGGGCCATTTGCACGAGAATCGAATTTATTATTCCGGATTTCTTTATATGTGTAAACTTGATCACCGACCTTGACCTTAGAAGGCCGAGCTTTAGAATCATGCCATTCCTTTGATCGTTCTTTTGCTTTGATCACTCGCTGGGCGGCCAGGTTCTGTAACTCATGCATTCTAACGATTAAATCTCTCAAGTAAACACCATAAGTTTCCAATTCGGGGCCCTGTGGGAATGAACTGGGAACCCGGGCGGTTCGACCAAAAACCAATTCGTACGGTGTGAAATTTGTAGCTTCATGGACCGATGTATTATAATTAAACATCGCAAAAGGAAGTAGACGATCCCAATCGTCAAAATCATTTGCATAATGTTTAATATAATCTGTCAGCTCAATATGGCTCCTTTCTAATGCACCATTTGTTTGAGGACGATAACCGGAAGTAGTAAGTTGTTTTACGCCGAAAATTCTTTCGAGTTTTCGCATCAAAGAACTCACAAAGCTTCCTCCTCTATCTGTAAGCACACATCTAGGTGCTCCATACAGAGAGAAAAGGTTTGTTGCCACAGCATGGGCGATAGTAGTGGTTTTGATATCCGGAATAGGTACCGCGATGCAGTATTTACTAAAATTATCCTGCATGGTAAGAATATGTCGATTCCCATTGGGAGTAGTTCTCAATTTTCCCACTGTATCTAGGGATACCTTGTCGAAGGGTATTGCTGGGGTATCCGTTATCAACATAGGTTCGCGAGTTCGAGCCCTAACAAGTTTATTTTCAAGACAGCTTCTACATTTTCGAATAAATTGTGTCACATCATCCCGTAATCTAGGCCAATAATATCGTTCGCGTATTCGCCTGTAGGTCTTTGTAATGCCCTTATGCCCACCAATTAAACTACCATGATATTCGGTTATTATTTTCGAGCGTAATTCTGGGGGAGGGACTTCAATCTTTCCGTGGCACAAGGTGATTTTTACATCACCACCGCGGAATATTCCTGCTAATATGCCCGCCATAGTCGTTTGGGGGAGAGTACCTAACAGGTCTCCGGAATTTGCCATCCGGCAATGGGTTTGATTATCTAAAACTAAAGCGTGTTTCAAGTTTCGTAACCCTGTTGTAACGTCACTCCAATCAAGTTCGTCGAAATGTTTTTTCTTTACTACGATTGAATAAATTTTGTATTTTCCACAAAGGGTAACCTGAACTTGTCCTTTTATTGGATTGTTATCCCGGATGTCCTGTAAGTTAATTTTATCAGTAGCAATTAGGAGTTTTGAAATTGAATCAACGGGTTCACAATCTTCGGAAATAAAATGGGCAATATTGTCTTTCTTATAGGTCAATGGTTCTGTCCATTGGTGGAAAACATTTTCCGGATTTTCCTTGAATTTTTCATGTGTAGTAGTAGTAGTTTGTTCGTTGTCAGAGGGTTCGGGGGAGGAAGAAGAGGGGGACTCTACATCCGAAATGTTAATATAGATTGGTAACCTTGTGTGAGGGATAGGCATCGTTGGTGGGGGTAATTCTATATTATTTGAATGTAGTCTTCGAGGCACTATGTTTGTTTTTCTTCCCACTTCTTCGTCTTGTTCTTCGTCGTTTTCTGCTTGAAAATCTGCGAATGGGGTAGATTGTGCAACTGGAGCTGGCAAGGTTCTAGGAGTAAAAACCGGAAGACTGGTTGCAGGATTCTCATGGATGCTTTCTTCTTCAATTACTTCGGGCGTATCCTGGAAACGTACCACACTTCGTTTTCTTTTAGGGCAAGAATAACTCATTACTGGAGTATCCTGCTGAGCTCCACTGGCATAGGGGCTGAAAGAAGGAGCTTTGTGTTCCGAGGATGGTCTTGATTCTTTTGGAGAAGTGTTGTTGTCGGTGTGAGTTGGCTCTCGCTTTTTGTTGACATTATCCAGGAATCTTTTTAGTCTTGCTGTGAATTCGCTATCATTGGTTCCTTTGCAAGGATCCAAGGATTCTAGATAGTTAAGATATTCTTCATCGCTCTCTCCGTCGGAAACATGAGTCTTCTTTTTAGGTGTTCGACCCATTCCTTCATAGTCCCATGCTAAGGTTTGGTTGGATTGATTCAAGTTGCTGAATTCACGACGTTTCAGAGATTCATCGAATCGCCTAATTGATTGATCTAGTGAATTTTCTTGATCTTCAGGATCTGCTGGATTTTGCTGTGGTTCCTGATCAGTTTCTGATTCCGGTTCCGAACTTTCTTCACTATCGGGAGGTGGTGGAGGTATTGCGACGATCACATGCTCCGGGGAAATTTCTTCCACATCTTCTTGATCTGCTGATTCGCTGGAAGATGAACTGGAGTCTGAAGGAGGTTCTAGAAGGGCGCCTTCCCTTGCTAGTCGATCTGCATTTTCGTTTCCATTTATTCCATCGTGACCAGGCACGTGTTCCCATATAACATCCAAACCTTTCATTGCTTTAACTAATCGTTCGTAGGCACTTTTATTTTTGACAGGTTTATTTTCGTTGGTTTTCCAGTCGTTTTCCTGCCATTTTGGTACCCACTCTTGGATTCCTTGGACAAGTACCTTGGAGTCAGTTTTTATCCTTAGTTGATTTATCCCTGCTCGTTTCGCCTTTTTGATAGCCGTTGTTGCAGCCTCAATTTCGGAAGCGTTGTTGGTTTGTCTACCTGTGGACCGCTGAGAGACGTTAAGTGGGTGTCCAGGACCGAACCATACTCCAATCCCTGCACGTGGTCTTATTCCGCCATTGTCACAACATGCACCATCTACATAAACATCTGTGTAGGAACTAGACATAGGGGGGATACACGGGGTTGATGGTTGGTCAGTTGTTTCTTTTTGCGTAATCGGAATTTTAGGTGGGAGCTGAGGGGGAACACTAGGGAACACACTATGACTTGCACGGAATACCGGGGCGTCCGAATTTTCTTCCTTGTCGGTTTCTGTCGTTGATTCATCTGAAGAAGAAGATTCGTCTTCCTGGTGACGGGCCTTCTCTCGTATTTCTTGTTTTCTTCTCCTCAATCTTTCACCAATACTACTCACATCTGGATCTACAGGTTTCGAACCTGGAGGGGGAACATAAGGTTCTTCATCATGGGGTTCCTTAGGTTTGGTTGATCCTATGGGTCGTCCTCTCTTGGGAATAGTGAGCTTTGCAGGTGACGCTGCTGGATTTCTCGTGAGTATTTTCCTCGGCACAACTGGTATTTCCTTTGATGTGGTGGGCATTTTGGAACCTTTCGTGGAACTAGTGGCCTTGGGGTTCGATGATGAAGTAGAGGGGTTTTGTTTATTCGCATAAGGAGGCTTTTCTAGTCTTGTAGAAGGACCTTCTTTCTTTGACGCCACAGGAAGTTTATAAGTAGGGTTAGGTTGTAGTGTTGAAACCTCTAAAGGGTTCTTGGGTTTAGGTTCAACGTTAGAAGAACGTGGGGCTTTTTGTTGAATTTTGCTATTGTCACTCGATCGACTCGCTCGTGCACTGGCACTAATCACTTTTTGTTTCGCACCACTACTTATCGGAAGGGCGCGAAGAGGGAGTGATTTGATTTCAGAATTTTCGCGTTGGTCATCTAACTTATCCTGATCTGTTTCTTCCGAGGATTCGGTCCACTCTGACTCGGAAGATGCAAAATTGTCCTTTTTGTCACTAGTGTCATTATCTTCGATAGGGTTGTTAGATAGGGCCTCGACAATTCTATTTATTTTCCCGGGTTTGTACTCGAATTTATAACGGTAGTCTCGAAGTTTTAATCGCCATTTTTGAAGTCGCGTTCCTGGATTCTCGATATAACTTATCCAGTGAACTGGTTCACAGTCACATGATAGGATAAAATCTTGATTATACAGGTAGGGCCTGAAATGTTCCACAGCGTATAACACTGCAAGGCACTCTTTTTCGGCATCGAGGTATTTTCTTTCGTTAGCGTTTAAGACTTTTGAGTAGTACGCGACGGGAAGGTCAATTTTGTCATGTTCTTGGGTCAACATTGAGCCAATGGCATATTCAGAAGCGTCTGTCGTGAGTTTAAACGGTTTTGTGAAATCTGGGTATTGTAAGATGGGTCTTTTACACAGGGCTTTTCTGAGTTTTCTGAAACTTTTCTGTTGCGTATCGCCCCATTTCCATTCTTCTGTTTTCTTTAATAGATCAGATAGAGGTTTGGCGATTTTAGCGTACTCTTTTATAAAGCGCCTGTAATAACCTGAAAGGCCTAGAAAACTCCTGACTTCAGTTTGAGTTTTCGGTACAGGAAAACGCTTGATGGCCTTAATTTTTGCTGGATTCGGTTTTATTCCATTTGCTCCGACAACGTGACCTAAATAGGCCACTTCCTTTTTTAGGAATTCGCACTTGTCGGGTTGGAGTTTTAGGTTTGCTTCTCGAAGTCTATTATATAGTCTTCGGGCTCGCCTATCATGTTCCTCAAGGGTATCAGAATAGATAATGATATCGTCGAGGTACACGAATGCTTCCGAATCAAGCATACCATCAAGAACGCTATTAAGAAGTCGCTGAAAAGTAGGGGGGGCATTTTTGATTCCCATAGGCATACGCTTGTATTCGAAATGTCCATTTCGAGAAGAAAAAGCCGTTTTGTGTCGGTCGTCCGGGTGAGTTTCCACCTGGTGAAAACCACTAGCGAGGTCGAAGACAGTAAAGTATGCTGCCGTCCCTAATTTATCCAATATGGCGGAAATATTGGGGAGGGGGTAGGCATCCCCTATTACCTTCTCATTAAGCGCTCGATAATCAATAACTACCCTCCACTTTCTTTTTCCCGAAGCGTCAAGTTTTTTCGGTACTATAAGAAGAGGGGAGTTATATGGGGAATTTGAGTTTCCGATAATACCGCTATTAAATTGTTTTAATAATTGTTCGTCAATTTGTGGTAGGGCTTCATCTGGGGATCGGTATTGCTTTTTATGAATTACCTTATCGTCAGTGGTGGGGATTCTGTGTTGGATTAAATGAGTGCAACTTAAAGGTTCCCCATTGAGATGAAAAATGTCGGCATATTCCTCGGCCCATTTATTTACAAGTTCTTTTTCTTCCGAATTTAAATGGGACACAAAAAGGGATTCTTTAACCTTTTGAACTCGCTCGGTGTAGGATAACAGTGGAGTGGAAAAATGGTCAGATTCTGAATCAGACAATTCTTCGCCCTCCAGTTTGCAAAAATCAAAAGGGATTAGTTCTTGGGGAGGCAATTCTATATCGATATCCTCTTCTGTAGTATTAATCGCTACGGCGTGACACACTCCATTTTTGCTACTTACTACGGCCTCGCCCAAGTATACACCTTTAGGGGTGTTAATTCGAGGGAGATAACCTTGTGACAAATCTGGATTGATCACGTTTATAGCGATTGGATTTCGAGTTCTGGCTCGGATTCGCAAAACCCTTTTAAAAGGTTTGATATGAGGTTTCAAAATCTCCTTTTCGGCCAGTGATTCCTTATCCACAAACGGGATAGGGGTCACTGGGTTGGAGAGAGTGACCAGGGTATTGTGCCAGAATGATATCTGGGCCCTTTCCTGTCGAAGGTAGGGCCGCCCTAGAATTCCATGTGTTGAAACAGGAAAATTATTTCTTACTACATGAAATTCAACAGGTGCACTTGCGATGTTAATTTGAATTGTACCAATCGTTCTCACTGTGTGATTCGTTATTCCCGTGATTTCTGTACTCTTGCTCGGGTCAAGAGTAAGGTCGGGATCTAAGGCACACAATTTGATTAGATTGGTGTCGGATCCTGGATCTACTAGAAACCTAATATCTGATTGTCTGAATTCTGGGGCCGTGAACTGCACTACTGGGGAGTCCTCGGCCGTGACTCCTGCTCGTAGGACCTTACGGAATTGTCCTTGAATTGGACACTCCGTTGACGCTGTGGGTTTGGACTCGTCGGCGCGTCGGTATGTCGAGTCTGTTGAAAGTTTAAATTTCCTGGAGGTCCAGGGGATGCTGCACGCGTAGGGGCCGCATTAAACTTGAAGTTTGAATTTTGTTCTTGATAGTTGCGATGAGATTGAGGTTGTTGGTATTGAGGGGGTTGAAAACTCATTGCTTGGATAGGGGGTTGGAAACTACCGAATTGTGACATCATCGAACGATAAAATGTCGCAAGTTGCTCAGGTGTAAATTGCAACACATCATTCGCCGATGTTTTCTGTGATCTATGTGACTCAAATCCTCTATCATTTTCCGACCTACGCTTTTCCGGATTAGAATTATTTTTCTCGACCTGTTTTGTATAAGGACTAGGTGATCGTGGATGTTCTTCGGCGCGAGCAATATGATAAGACGTACCTCTAGATCGGTCTGAGTACTTGTGCCTTTCTTCAGCACGAAGGGCATGCTCGAAGGCTTCACTAAGGTCTGCCGGATTTCTCGTGTCCACAAAAATAGACATTTCCTCTGGCAAGCCTCGAATGAATGCCTCAAGGGCGCAATCAATGATTGGTTTCATCATAATTTCGCTTTCAGAAGTATCCTGACAACGGACGGCCAAACCTTCTATTAATCGATAGCGTGCGTTATATTTTGCTTCTAAAGAATGTTTTGCCCCACTCAGTAGACCTTGTAGGCGGTCGTTATAATCACTAACCGTCTCTGATTGTTTTAGTCTAATGCTCATAATATTATCTAAATACCATTGATACTTCTTTGAAGAAGCAAATCTTTTCTTTAAATGGGACACTAACTCGTCTAATCTATTGAAACGTTTATCCCTTACGCTTTCTCTAGCCGCACCCTTTAATTTACTGAGGACGGCCTTGATGTATCCAGGCTCGGAAGTTCCTGTCAAAAACACAGCTCCATTAGCTACGTCTTGTAGGAATTCCTTCAAAGGTGGATTGCGTCCATCAAAAATAGGGATGTGATAAGTGCATTGTTGTAGCGTCATACACTCTAAGACTGAAGCCATCGCGGCTGTTGTATCAGGATTAGCATTGGCAGGAGGAGGGGTTAAATTTGCGAACGTGCTTCCGCACGCTAAACCGGCTCCTTGTGACACGGGGTCCGTCATTTTTAGTGCAAGTATATATATGTAGATAAAAAAAATTTTAATTGTTATTCTCGATAATTATTTTTCACCACCGCGGAATATTCCTGTTAATTTGCGCGGGATATTTCGAGGTTAAAAAAAAATAAAATGATTTGAAAAATTTTCAATTTTGATTTTCGGAAGGTGTTTTAGTTAACAGCTGATTATAACGCGTCGCTATCCGGTTCAAAGTGGAAAGGTCAATGACCAATCGACCTCTCGGGGTCCTAGGGTCTCGTTTAATCCATATACCAGGCGCAGGGGTGGGGATAGCAATATTATGGTGGGACATAACCCTTAATTAAAAATTTTGTTTCCCCTTTTTTTTTTTTATTTATTTATATATATATATATATATATAATTTTTTTTTTTTACAAATGGGGTGAACAATAGAAATTGGAGAAATTGGTAGAAAAGAGAAATTAATAAAACGAAAGAAAAGCTTTAATTTAGTTTTCCTTTTCCCTATTTTCCAAAGCCAATTTTACTCGACGCTCGATTTCTTTTCGTTTGTTTATGAGAACTAACTCGGCAAGACAATCATGAAATTCTTTCCATGAGCTTAGGGAGTTTTCCGAATTTTCCGACGAGGTTTCTTTTTGATTTTCGAGGTTACGTCTTGCTGCTATACGTTTATTTATATTTTCGTCACTCATAAGTTCTTTTTCTAATTTAGTGTAATTCTTAACTCTTATCAAGTTCCTCAGTTTCTTTCCTCCGTAAACATTTTTACATTTATGAGGCATTGCAAAACATTCTTGACAATTTAAGATAAACTAAAAGAAGCTAGATAAAAAAAATTGAATATAAAAATTTTTATGAGGACGTGGGAAAAGAAAAAAAAAAAGATACCCTTTTGTTTTATTTAATCAATCACAATGACGTCATCGTTGTAATTTACCGTAGTGTCGCTGTCAGAACTGTTGCTGTCAGAAATCAAAATAGGGGTGGGTACAATCTTGATCTTTTCTCCGTTGTAATTTTCGATACGTTTTACTCTCAACCGTAAGGTGGGGGTATCTGTAAGAATGTCTGCTGAATGTACCAAGGTCAAAGAGAGTTTTCTCAAATCCCGACCATTTATTACAGTGCCCCTTTTAAATGGGAACTTTGGGTTAAACACTATAAAATAGTGTAATCTCTCTGGAAGATTATTTTTAATATTAGTGTTAGTCAAGGAGGAAAAGGTTTCAGAAGGAATTGTTTGAGAGATAGCAGAATTTGAAATATTTGCCTCTACTGAAAATTCTTCTTGTACTCTTTCTTGTGTTTTAATAGAAGTAGGAAGTGATTTGATTAAAGTTGTGTTTGATTTTCTTTTTGGTCTATTCTTTCTGCGAGTTCTTTTTCCTCTTTGTCTAAAATTATTCGACATTGCGATTTATCATAGTGACAAAAATTCTTCTCATTCCTTCACAACAAATAAAATATTTTTAGGATTGTTTTGTAATAGAATTTCGGAGACTTGTCTTCCAGTGAGCGAATCACGGAGACTTGTCGTCACGGACTATCTATAACAAAATTAAAAATTAAAAATTAAACGTCTAGTTTGAATTTTTAATTTAAAAAAAAAATATTTTACTTGAGAGAAAATAATTAGAGAATTTGTTTAAGAATAAAAATTAACAACGCCTTATTCTCTCCATATAGTAATATATTATTTTAAAATTATTTTGTGATAGAATTTCGGAGACTTGTCTTCCAGTGAGCGAATCACGGAGACTTGTCGTCACGGACTATCTATGACAAAATTAAAAATTAAAAATTAAATGTCTAGTTTGAATTTTTAATTTTCAAAAAAAATATTTTTATTTGAGAGAGAATAATCCGTTCAAGAAGAAAAATTAAACAAATTCTTCATTTTTTTTTTTCATATAGTAATATATTATTTTTAAATTATTTTGTGATAAAATTTCGGAGACTTGTCGTCCAGTGAGCGAATCACGGAGACTTGTCGTCACGGACTATCTATGACAAAATTAAAAATTAAAAATTAAATGTCTAGTTTGAATTTTTAATTTTCAAAAAAAAAAAAACATATATTTCCCTCAAGAAAGAATAATTAGAGTATTTACTTAAAATAGAAATAGACCAAAACACTTATTCTCTCAACAAAAAGGAATGTATTATTTAGGATTATTTTAAAAGTAGAATTTCGGAGACTTGTCTTCCAGTGAGCGAGTCACGGAGACTTGTCGTCACGGACTATCTACAATTAAGGTCCCAAAATTGAATTAAAATAATTTTTAATTCTATGTCAACATACCCTTTGTTAGAAAGAAAGAGGTGATATAGAGAAATTTGAAAATTTAAAAATAAGAAAGAATTATTAAGTGAAAATTTCGAAAGGAAATAGAAATCCCTTATAAGAAAATTCCTCCCTTAAATTCTAAGGGGTAGCAACGTCAGGAAAAATCCCACCGCTGCCACCATCAGTTTGTTACGAACGAGAAAATATTTAAATAATTAATATAGTTGATTTAACTATAATGATTATTTTAGGCTTTTGAGATGGCCCTATTTTCCAGTTTGTTGGAGGAATTCAAACTGCCAGAGCGTGAGCTCTGTTTATCTTACTGGGATTCGTGTTTCCTAGTTGCCAAAATTCAGAAATTAATTAAGGAAGGGGGGGGGGGGGTAAGGAAAATGTAGAAAATTAATAGAAAGAAAAATTAAAATAATAGTTATGATTTATTGTAAATTAAAGAAAGGATCCATCCGCCTCTCAAACAATAAAAGAAAGGAGGATGGGGTAAAACTAGCCAGAACGATACAGTTACTTACCCGTTCTGGAACCTTAAGTCTACCGCCAGAATTCTGCCGACGGGCGAAGATTTCACAATACACTCACACGTGCACAACTTATTGTTTTTTTTTTTTTTTTTCTTAGTTTCCTAAACCACTAAAAATAGGGCGGACGCGGCTACACCGTAAAACCGGCCGGTCATTTGACAAGAAAGAAAATTTTAAATTTATTTAAATAAAATCTCCCCCTTCACTATTTTAGCTTTAGGTGGCCCCGCGGATTTCGAGTTAAGAATTTTATTTTCGTCCGGCCAAATTGCTTGTATAAACATACAACCAATTTGGATCCTGTATACCGGACGGGAACGTTACGGATAATATTATTTTTATTCCGACAGAGATTGAGTCTCTGTGCCGTGGGAAACCGTACTGAACAATTTAGATATCTAATTAATGAGCTTATATAGTTTTACTTCCTTAAGAAATATGGAAAGGTGGGGACAGGGCGTTGGTCCTGTTGCCATGCCAAAATTGCTGAACTTGCATTTTGTGGAATCGGTTCATTGCACTATGTTGAAATAAATTCCTTTTTCTTGTATTCTTAGAAAGAATATTTTCTTTTTAATATTCTTTTAATTATTGAAACAATTTTTAATTTGTTTATTTATTTATTTTATTTTTTTTTTAATTAATCTCTTAAAATAGGATTAATGTAAGTTGGAAATGATGGACATTTCAAAATAGAAATTCCATTCTATTTTGTAACCCTAAAAAAAAAGGTTGTTACAATTCCAACGTTAAATCATTTGTCAATAATTATTTTAATGTGCATTGGAATCTTCCGCAAGTTTGCAATTTATGGCGGGCAAGGTTTATAAGCTAGGTTGGTACAGGGAAACGAGAGATAAATTATATTTTTGAAAGAAAAGAAATAATAATAGAATTAATAATAATAATAGCCTAAACGTTCCCATCTTTATATATCGTATAATTGTTAATTGTATAAATATTTTTAATTAAGGCCGGGCCATCATTCACCCTATTTTCAAGGTTCGAAAAATTAAAAAAAATGCATTTAAAATTGAAGGCAGACGATTATAGTAACATTCGCCGTTAGTGTGAGAGAGAAAGAGCGATAGGATAGAAGAGTACACTATACTCCGTAAGAACAATATGCCTGAGAGAGAACGCTTCGATGCTATACACAATCTTCTTTCTCTCTCGCACAATGTCAAGGGGAGCGTGGGGAGCGCGGGAAGTCTTCACTCAACGCGTTGAGTGTAGCCTCACGTCTATTCTTCGTGTATATATATATATATGCATACAATATGCATTTCATTATTTTAATTCTAATAGTTAATAATTTTCCTTTTTACTGTTAATAACATGGATAATACACATATATGCACACATATACATATACCATAGCCATTGTTGTTGTTTTAAAACAAATTATAAATTCAATAAAATAATACCCTTTTATTAATCGATATTTATCAATATAGTTTAATTAATAATTGATAGTTTATTACTCGTGTAGGTTCCAAGGGCTTGCCTCATGAGTTGAATAAAATTTAAAAATATAAAATTATTTTGGTGTCATTGCCTCGCGAGTTGCACCATTTCGCTGACACCGAAATTCCTTAGTGCAATACGATCTTTAACTTCCTTCAACTTGGTTCGAAGGAAGTTTTAAAAGAATTTTAAATAAAATAATTTTCGAAATCTTTTTAAATTAAATATGGGCGTAACAGTAATTGTTAAATACAACTATATTGATAATTTATTATTATAAATTGTTACTACTTTCGTCAAAAATTAATTTTACGGATTTTGAAATTAGTGATTATACTGTAAATATTTTCTTCCTCTGTATATAATAAATTTTATGCATTAAAGAATTATAATGATCATTAACCGGGGTAACATATAGAACAAAGATTTATCTTCTTCATTGTAATCAGTGAATATTGTCCTGACTTGTTGACATAAAATAAAATCATCACGAATTTTCTTAATTACACTAACTAATAATTTATCAAATAAATATTAGGTATTCATAAAAGAAAACAGAATTATCAAAAAACCAGGAACCGCGTCGGAAACGAAACTAAATAGAAAATCACTTTCGTTTTAGTGTTTGAGTTGACACGAAACTAAATTAACAAAGTGACTTTAGTTTCAAGTCGACACAAAACTAAATTAACAAACTGAGTTTAGTTTCGTGTCGACTTGAAACTAAAGTAGGGGAAAGTGGGGCAAGACGGGGTACTTAAGGTTTAAAGCGCAAAAAAACGAAAATTATCGAATATATACTTTATTATTATTTTTAATTATTATCATCTTTGGGAATCAGTCTTTCGTAAAAAAGGCGTACAAAGGCCATCTGTTTCTTAAAAAAGCTTATAATTAATAATATTGAAAAAATTGCAAATCTCCCCATCTTGCCCCACCGGCGGGTAAGATGGGGTACTAAAAAAAACAACCTATTTCTGTCGACAAATTTTACAAGTAAAGGTTGCATCTTCATCTTCATGCATAACTGCAGTGAGCCCATTGGCCGCAGACAAAAAAAGCAGCCCAGCCTTCATTTGAGTCTAAATAATAACCATTGCAATAGAGACAAGGTGTATTTTCCACTTTACCATCACTAATTGATGATTTAACCTGACAAGCTTTTTTCTTTTAGGTCACTCTTATTTTATTCAGTCTTGATTTTAGTAGTTTTCTCAATTTCTCTTATTTCTCTTTTCTTTTGCTTAATTTGTGAACCCCGTCTTGCCCCACTCTTCCCTACCCATCTTGCCCGCACCTACGAAATTGAATAAAACGATTAATTACTACAATTTACGATTCAACAAAAAAAAAAAAAACATATGCTTCCCTTCTTCTGTAAGCCTTGACAGTTAGAAAAAAATTTATACAGTTCAATAACTGTTATTATTAAGTAATAAACACCTCCTAAAAAAAGTGAAAAAATGACAAGAAAATCGTCAAAAACAGTTTTTTTTAGTAAAACAGATAAAAGATTTGTTCTCATGGCTTTTAGGTTTTGCAAACAAGAAACTATCGTCTCTGTGCAGTATTATGTAAAATATAATCGCGATTGGTTAATTCGTTTGTTAAATAAGGCCGGCACCCCGACTTACCCGCTACCCCGTCTTGCCCCACTCGCCCCTAACTTTGTTAATTTAGTCTCGTGTCAAATCAAACACTAAAACGAAACTAGACTCTCGAGACGGTCCCTGCAAAAAACAAATATTAAAATACAAATTATACATTAATTTCTGTTTAATAATTATTTTTTTAGCCAAAGTTTGAAGATTATAAGTGTTGAAAATACTGACATTACATCAAACTATTATTGAGTAAATAATTTTGTACATTAAAATACTAATTCTACACAATAAAAAATATAAATTATACAAAAATATAATCTAAAAATCATAATTTTCTTTACACAGCTTTTCAAATCTTGTTAATTCAATCTTTTAGTTTCGACTTCTAAGTATAAACAAATGTTATAAATTTTTAATATTTCACTGCATGTTCTCTTCTCAACATTAACATTTATAAAAAATTCGTTACGCTATCAGACAATCGAAATTTGGTAAAAAATACATTAAAAATTTCTTTTTTTCAAATTTAAGAATTCTAATCTTCTGAAAATCACCTGAGTTCTAGTAGGGACTGGGCCCTACCCAATCCTGACGAAAAGAGAATTTTATTTCAATTTTTAAGTAGTAATAGGTCCACCCGTACGCTATCAGACAATCGAAATTTGGTAAAAAATACATTAAAAATTTCTTTTTTTCAAATTTAAGAATTCTAATCTTCTGAAAATCACCTGAGTTCTAGTAGGGACTGGGCCCTACCCAATCCTGACGAAAAAAAAATTTTATTTCAATTTTTAAGCAGTAGCACCCTCACCCGTACGCCATCAGACAATTGAAATTTGGTAAAAAATACATTAAAATTTCTTTTTTTCAAATTTAAGAATTCTAATCTTCTGAAAATCACCTGAGTTCTAGTAGGGACTGGGCCCTACCCAATCCTGATAAATACAGAATTTTATTTCAATTTTTAAGTAGTAGCAGGTCCACCCGCCCAATGGGAAATGCCAGTGTAGTGCCGATGCTCACCACTGGCGTAGTACTCAGACGATTGTTCGGCGTAGTCTAGCCGAGCCTCGACAATTAGTGCTGGCGCAGTACAGAATTTTTGTTTCGCCAAAGCTTGGACAAGCCACGGCGGCAAGTGCTGGCTGAGTATAGAAAAATTGTTCACAACGCTCTTTGCCAACATTGCTTTTTTGACATAAACTTGAAAAAAATTATAAAAAAAGTTTATGAATGTTTATAAATATAAATTTATTGAAAAAAATTAATATTTTACTTTTCAGTTGTTCATTTTTTATTCTTGTCAAATTTAATAATAACAATTTAACACAATTGTCTAATTTTGTAAATAATAAATTATTTAAACAAATTAAAATTATAAACAAAATTTAAACTTTAATCTCAATAATAATTTGGTTCCTATTAAAATACTATTATACTTCTTACTATGAATAAAAAATTATTAAAAAATTACCACGTAATTTAAGAATTACGTAAAATGTTAAATGCAATAAGTAAAGTAATTTAATTTTTAAAAATTTAGTTTAATTTATTTTATTTCAATTTATTATTTCTAACGTATCCCTATTTTTTCTCATCTTTGACTCAATAATTGTATGTCTGAATGATACTGAGATATTAAAATTTTACTGCACACACGTGTCGTTAGCATAGTGGTTAGAGCGTTAGTCTGTTAGTCCGTAGGTCGTAGGTTCGATTCCCCTCGTCAGCAATTTTGTTTATTTTCATAGGTTTGCGATATTTCTAGATTCCAATCGTCAGGTACTAAAATATGAAAATCTAATGCACACTTACTGTAATTGTTTATTATTTAATTTTTAAATGTTATAAACAATTTTTTTCTACTTCATTTACTATATCCATATTGTTAGTCTCCATCTTTAATACAATTTCTTTAAGAAGAGAAATATTTTATGAATAATAACTATTTATTAATATTATTTACCATTTTGTTGTTAAATTATTTATAATTATTAATTTACGACTAATTAATAACAATACGGCATTTATTGCGGCAATATTCTCAGCCAGCACTGGCCCAGTGCTGCGCCAGCGCTGTCTGGCAGCACTGACAGACAGTACTTCGGCAGCGCCGGACGGCGTTATCATCCCAGAGTTATGCCAGTGCTGGCTCTCAGCCTTGCCGCCAGTGCTGCCAGTGCTGGCGCAGTACTACGCCAGTTGTAAATTTCCCATTGGGCGTACGCTATCAGACAATCGAAATTTGGTAAAAAATACATTAAAAATTTCTTTTTTTCAAATTTAAGAATTCTAATCATCTGAAAATCACCTGAGTTCTAGTAGGGACTGGGCCCTACCCAATCCTGACGAAAAGAGAATTTTATTTCAATTTTTAAGCAGTAGCACCCTCACCCGTACGCCATCAGACAATTGAAATTTGGTAAAAAATACATTAAAAATTTCTTTTTTTCAAATTTAAGAATTCTAATCATCTGAAAATCACCTGAGTTCTAGTAGGGACTGGGCCCTACCCAATCCTGATAAATACAGAATTTTATTTCAATTTTTAAGTAGTAGCAGGTCCACCCGTACGCTATCAGACAATCGAAATTTGGTAAAAAATACATTAAAAATTCCTTTTTTTCAAATTTAAGAATTCTAATCATCTGAAAATCACCTGAGTTCTAGTAGGGACTGGGCCCTACCCAATCCTGATAAATACAGAATTTTATTTCAATTTTTAAGTAGTAGCAGGTCCACCCGTACGCTATCAGACAATCGAAATTTGGTAAAAAATACATTAAAAATTCCTTTTTTTCAAATTTAAGAATTCTAATCATCTGAAAATCACCTGAGTTCTAGTAGGGACTGGGCCCTACCCAATCCTGATAAATACAGAATTTTATTTCAATTTTTAAGTAGTAGCAGGTCCACCCGTACGCTATCAGACAATCGAAATTTGGTAAAAAATACATTAAAAATTTCTTTTTTTCAAATTTAAGAATTCTAATCATCTGAAAATCACCTGAGTTCTAGTAGGGACTGGGCCCTACCCAATCCTGATAAATACAGAATTTTATTTCAATTTTTAAGTAGTAGCAGGTCCACCCGTACGCTATCAGACAATCGAAATTTGGTAAAAAATACATTAAAAATTCCTTTTTTTCAAATTTAAGAATTCTAATCATCTGAAAATCACCTGAGTTCTAGTAGGGACTGGGCCCTACCCAATCCTGATAAATACAGAATTTTATTTCAATTTTTAAGTAGTAGCAGGTCCACCCGTACGCTATCAGACAATCGAAATTTGGTAAAAAATACATTAAAAATTCCTTTTTTTCAAATTTAAGAATTCTAATCATCTGAAAATCACCTGAGTTCTAGTAGGGACTGGGCCCTACCCAATCCTGATAAATACAGAATTTTATTTCAATTTTTAAGTAGTAGCAGGTCCACCCGTACGCTATCAGACAATCGAAATTTGGTAAAAAATACATTAAAAATTTCTTTTTTTCAAATTTAAGAATTCTAATCATCTGAAAATCACCTGAGTTCTAGTAGGGACTGGGCCCTACCCAATCCTGATAAATACAGAATTTTATTTCAATTTTTAAGTAGTAGCACCCCCACCCGAACGCCATCAGACAATCGAAATTTGGTAAAAAATACATTAAAAATTTCTTTTTTTCAAATTTAAGAATTCTAATCATCTGAAAATCACCTGAGTTCTAGTAGGGACTGGGCCCTACCCAATCCTGATAAATACAGAATTTTATTTCAATT